CAAACTGATGGTTGCCAGAGGGGAGGTGGTTGGTGGGGTGAGTTAAAAAAGGGAAGGAGAATTAGTCCACAGTACTGTGGTAACTTTGCCTGGTGACAGATGGGTGCTAGACTTAGTGTGGTGATCACATTGTAAGGTATATAAATGTCAAACCACTATGTTGTACCCCTGAAACTAATATAATATTGTATGCCAACTATAATAAAAAAATAAATCTTCACAATCACCTCATGAAATAGGTGCTATTACCATCCCCATTTTACAGCTGAGGAAACTGAAGCACAGTAGGGTGCATAGCTTACTTAAGGTCACAGGGTTGGGAAGCAGGAGAACTGGGATTCAAAACCAGGCAATCCAGCTTCTAAGTCTTGCTCTTAACCACAGTGACTTTCAGGTTAAAATTCGGAAGTGGATATAGCTGTAAGTTTCAGAAGTAGGGAATAAAAGCTGCTACGAGAGCCCATGGGGGGCAGAACATGTGAGAGTTAAATGTCTAAGTCTAGGGCAGGGGGAGGGGAGTAAGTACCTGTTTATGATGAAGTATAAGTCAGGAAAAGACTATCCTTTTACAGAGATAAAGCCAAAGTGGCCTCCAAATTCCCTCTTTAATGAATGATGTCTGACCCATCCTGGAGCACAAAAAATAAGAGCAGTGTTGTAAGACTGGGAGGGACACCCAAGAGCACAACTTGCAAAAGGCAGGATATGGACAAAGGAGGTTGCCTCAGAGAAGAAAGTCTGCTGAGGACCTGTGTGGAGGCTTCCTCTCATTGCCCCACACGCGCCAGCTGTGGGTGGTGAACCCAGGGCCCACGTGGGGAATCGGGGTTCACAGCATGATGTAGGTCACAGAGGGCTCTTAGCCATAGGTCTCTAGGCTCCCCAAGTCTGCAGATGAAATTCCTGGAGGTATGTAAACCTAGGGAAAATTATGTCTTTATTTTCACTAACCTCTGAACTGAAATTTAGCCTTTCTTTCAATTATGAATGTTAACAAACCAGAGTAGTATCAGGAAAACTTGACTTTGTCACCAATAGAAATCACAAATATTTTATATTATATTAAAATTGCTACAGATATCTTAAAATATCATTTATATTCATTACTACTTTGAGATTATGGTAGTTATTAGACCCACATTATTAAATTATACAATTTGGGATTTTTCATATTTTGATAAACTATTTTTCGATAAAAGTGGTTTCCTTTATAATTTTATGTGTTTTGTGCATTGAAAAAATTTCAGGCCAAGATCATTCAATGGGAAAAGAACAGTCTCTTCAACAAAGGGTGCTGGGAAAATGAGCTATCCACTTAGCAAAGAATGAAGTGGGACCCTTACTCTACACCATACAAAATTATTTCAAAATGAACCAAGGATCTAAATTCAAGACCTAAAACTATAAAACTCTTAGAAGAAAATATAGGGAAAATCTTCATCATTTTGGATTTCACAACAGTTTCTTAAATATGACACCGAAGTCACAGGCAACAAAAGAATAAATAGGTAAGTTGGATTTCATTAAAATTTTAAAAAAACAGAGGACTTCCGCCAAGATGGAGGCATAGGTGGATAAGCCGTGCCTTCTCACACAACCAAGTTTAGAGACAGCTAAATGTTAGCAACAGAAAACATAGCCAGAACACAGAAAATTGAACTTTTTGGAAGTCTGTTAACAACAAATTCTTCAGTCTGACCGGTAAGGGGAGAAACCAGCAGCTGGTGGAGCGGGGTTGCACAGGAAAACTCGGTCAGACAGACTCAGGCATGCAGAACCCAGGCGCAGGGTTGGACCTAGTGAGCGACCTCGGGGAAACAGCGAGGGAGCAGGGCTTCGGGTTGACTGTGGTCTCGCTTTGGTGTGTGGATAGACAAGCGAGGGAGTAGGCGATTGGACTGGGACCCAGCGGGTTCCCGCAGCAAGCGGCAGGAAGGGCACTGCCATTTCCCTGCTCTGACCCCACCGCCACATACAGCGTCATAACCCAGCGACTCTGAGTGGCCCGACCCAGGTGAACTACCTAAGCCTCTGCTCCTCACCCAGCAGCACGAAACAGCAGAGGGGGCCGCCATTTCCCCGCTCTGACCACACCCCCACATACAGCGTCACAACCCAGCGACCTGGTATTCCAAGGCTCCGCTCCTCACACTTAAAGGGCGCGAACAGAACAAAAATGGCTCAAGAAGATCACAAAGCCCCAGAGCCTATAAATCTAAGCGATGAAGAAATAGCAAAACTCTCAGACGCACAGTTTAAAACACTGGCGATCAGGATCCTCACAGAACTGGTTGATTATAGCCACAAATTAGACAAACATATGAAGGCAGAAACTAATTGAAATGAATGGAATTGCACAGGAAACCAATAGCGATGAAAAGGAAACTGGGACTCAAATCAATGGAGTGGACCAGAAGAAAGCAAATAATGGCCAAACAGAAAAGAGTCAAGAAGCAAGAATTCAAAGAAATGAGGAGAGTCTTAGGAACCTCCAGGACATCTTTAAATGCTCCATCCGAATTATAGGGGTACCAGAAGGGGGAAAGGCACAGCCACCAGTGGAAAACTTATTTGAACAAATAATAAAGGAGAAGTTCCCCAATCTGGTAAAGGAAATAGACTTCCAGGAAATCCAGGAAGTTCAGAGAGTCCCAAAGAAGTTGGACCCAAGAAGGAACACACCAAGGCACATCATCATTACATTAGCCAAGATTAAAATGAAGGAGAGAATCCTAGAAGCAGCAAGAGCTAAGGGGACAGTCACCTACAAAGGAGTCCCCATCAGACTGTCAGCAGATTTCTCAAAAGAGACCTTACAGGCAAGGAGGGGCTGGAAAGAGGTATTCCAAGTCATGAAATCCAAAGACCCACAACCAAGATTGCTCTATCCAGCAAAACTTGCATTTAGAATGGAAGGACAGATAAAGTGCTTCTCAGATAAGATCAAATTCAAGGAGTTCATCATCACCAAGCCCTTATTATATGAAATGTTAAAGGGACTCATCTAAGAAAAAGAAGTTAAAGAAACATGAACAGTGAAAGGACAACAAACTCACAGTTATTAAGAATCACACCTAAAACGAAAGCAAACTAAAAGGACAGCTAGATCAGGAGTGGAAACATAGAAATGAAGATCTCAAGGAGGGTTAGCAACAGGGGAGTGGGAGGAGCAGAAGAGGAGAGAAGGTACAGAAAATAAGTAGCATAGACAGTAGATAGAAAACAGATGGGGGGCAAGAATAGTATGGGAAATATAGAATCTAAAGAACTTGAGACACACGGACATAAACTAAAGGGGGGGTAATGGTGGGGACGGGGGGTAGGGTGGAGGGGAACGAAGCAGGGGAAATAGAACAACTGTAACAGCATAATCAATAAAAAAATTAAAAAAAAAACAAAACTGGTGCACCAAAGGACACTAACCACAGAGTGAAAAGACAGCCTACAGAATGGGAGAAAATATTTGCAAATTATATATTGATAAGGATTTACTATCCAGAACATATAAAGAACTCCTACAACTCAACAAAAGGCAAAAAGCCTAATTTTAAAAAGGGCAAAGGAAAACAGACATTTCTCCAAAGAAGACACACAAATGACCAATAAGTACATGAAAAGATGGCCGTCATATTTGGTCATTGGGAAATGGAAAACAAACAAGCAAACCCACAGAGAGACACCACTTCACACCTACTAGAAATCTATAATAAAAAATGGTAAATAATAAAAGTACAGGATATTGAGAAATCAAAACACTTGAACATTGCTGGTGTGAATGTACCGTGGTATAGCTGTTGTAGAAACATCTGGCATTTCCTCAAAAAGTTAAAGACAGAATTTCCATGTGATCCAACAATTCTACTCCTAGGGATATGCCTAAAAGGACTGAAAACAAGGACGTAACAGACACTTCTATGCCAACTCTCATGGCAGCATTATTCATAATAACTGAGTAGTAGAAACAACCCAAGTGTCCTCCAGCAGACTAGTGGATAAACTAAACAAAACGGGCCGTATACACATAATGGAGTGTCATCAGCCATAAAATGAAGTACTGATTCGTGCTCCAATGTGGATGAACCTGGACCACATGGCCAAGTGGAATAAGCTGCTCATGAAAGATAAATATTGTACAGTTCGGCTTAAGTGAAATATTGAGAATAGGCAATTCATAGAGACAGAAAGTAGGAGAGAGGTTACCAAGAGCCAGAGAGGAGGGAAAAGTGGGGATTTATTACTCAGTGGGTACAGAGTTTCTGTTTAAGGTAGTGAAAGTTTTGGAAACAGATAATGGTGATGGTTACACAATATTGTGAATGTCATTAATGCTGATTGGTACACTTAAAAATAGATAAAACTGCTAATTTAGTGTTATATATACTTATACTATATTTAGTGTTATATATTTATATTTATAATGTTATACACATTTATAATATAATGTGGGAACATATATATTTACCACAGTAAAAAAGTAAAAGGAATATTCTGCAAAGAGGTTTGTAAGCTTTCGCAGACTGCTAAAAGTCTCACGACAGGAAACAGGTTGGGAGCCCCTGGACTGTAGGGCCGCATGGTCGCAGCGAGTGTCAGATGTGGGGGGGGGGTCCCCTGTTGGTGATCACGAGTGCTGCGAGGGCACGGCTGGCTGTGAGATTAAAAGGATGCCATTCGGCTGCCATTAATTCATCCACCCTGGTTGCTTTTTGCTTTTGTTGTTAGGAGACTGGTAATGGTGGTTAATCAAACAACGCATTTGTTAAATATCACCCTTAGATGCTGTGGGGGACATCCTAGGTCTCTGTGCTCAAGAAGTTTACACTCAAGAAGGTGCTACAGGACACAGCACACACACACACAACTGAGGAGAAATCACTCAGTAAACTACGGTTCCGACGACAGGAACTCAGAGGGGGAAGACAGAAGTAGGCAGCGGAAGGAGTCAAATGGGGCTGCGGTGCTGCCAGCTGGGCGGCAGGTGAATGGCCGCGCACACGCACCGGCACTGGACGTGGTGTCTGAAGGTGGTGATGTCGATGTCCATGTTCCCAGAGGAAGCGGACTTCCTTCTGTGTTCCTGTTGAAAGGTCTCCTCATTGTACACATCTCGCTTAACATCGTACGTGAAAGAATTCTCCCTATATTTAGAGTCAAACTCTTGATTGCTACCCTCTGGTTGCATCATTCCTGGATGGGTGAAAACAGATCGAACAAAAAGCAATTTAAAAAACCTAGACCCTTTTGAGTAAAATTTCCAAATCATGATACCTTATATTTGCCTAGCACATTGCAGTATTATAAAACTTTCTCATGCATTTTACAATTTTATACTCAAAACCACCCTATAAAGAATGCAAGGTGAGAATTATTCTAATTTTGGAGAAACTGGGGCTCCAAAGTTTAAACAGACCTGACTATTACCCAATTAGAGTTGGGACTAGAACCCAGGTGTCCTGCTAGGAAGCCTAGTTTTATTTATATTCAATTGTGTTATAGGAAAATGATTAAGAGGTACAAGTCAGTATACACTAACTATCACCAAAAAAATGCGGAGGATTAAGTGGTCAGTGAGCACAGTGTCTTCCTAATTTCTTCTCTATTGAAGTAGCATTATTATCTCTCGACCCTTCCCTGAGCTTCATAGCACCCGATCTAGCACTGTTTATTTGACCATTGTCTGTTTCCCACACTAAAATGGGAGTCTAAGAGGCAGGACTTTGACTGTTCATGGCTGTTTTCTCAGGACTCAGAATAGTGCCTGAGACTTAGCAGCCCCTCAAGAAATATTTCTTAATGACTATGTAGTATTCAATTAGTGACCTCATGGTGTAGCAGAAAAAGCATTGCACAGGGTCTCAGGATACTAGGGATCTAGCCCTGGCTGTTTTTCTAACTAGCTGCCCGACTGGGGCCAAGTTTCTTATAAAATCAGTTTCAGTGTCAGTTTCCTTGTCTGTAAAATGACGGTGGTTGGGCCATATGATCTCTAAGGGTCATGTTAAGCTTTAAAACTCTGTATGGTCTTGCTCTTTTAAGGGAATGAGAAGGAGGAGTTCATGAGGATGGATATAGTTCCATCTCTGCAAGGAAGTGTAATCATTCTTTATCATCTGTGTTTTTGAAAAATAAGAAAGGCATAAACTCTAAAATTCTTCCACATAAATATAAAAAGGTATATATGTATCATAGCTCTAAAATACATTGGCAAACACAAAGTATATAGGTCATAGAAATAGTTCATTAATAGCTGAGGCTGGGAATATGTTTAATGTGCCATCAAAGCCATCTTCCCTCCCAGTGATCACACACCCACATCATCACCAGCCTCTGCAGAGCACTTACTATATGGCTAGCACTGCAGTAGATTTTTTTCATCAGTGTTTTCATTTAATTTCCACAACAATCCTAGTACTGCTGTTATCCCTATTTTGTAAGTGATAATACTGAGGTTTTAGAAAAGTTAAGTAGCTGGGCCATAGTTACGTATTGTAGTTTTACCCTCAAAGCATTGGGTAGCAGTACTGTGCTAAAATCACAAATTCACACCTTGAACTAAAATCACAAATTCAGTAAAGAAGTGAGAATGTGGTTGGGGAATACAGAGGAGGATGGAAGAGCTGTTTTACAATGTATCACTTAAGAGAATTAGTACTTCGTGTCTTCTACAGAAAAGAAAAACAGGTAGAATTGTACATTAATACATAAGTAATATTTCCTTTTTTTCTCCCACCCATAGAAATATTTGAGCCAGCCTTCCTTTTTTTAATATGTAATCTTACAATAAAGTTTCATTACTAGAATACGTGTTCCTGGCAACTAAAAGAGCCTACTGAACTTGTTAATTATATTGAAACTATAGTACCTGCCATCCTGGATCAGATCCAGGGTCTAGAATCCAGCATTTTGTTTGTGAAAGTGGCAGTGAGGACGGGGTGGTGAGAACAGGCAGTGCATGAACGTCGTCGAGAACAGCGGCGGCAGTGGGACTGGGGAGGGGGCGGGGACAGCAGCAGCTACTCAGCCCAGCAGTGGCTGTGGTGGGTCATGCTGGGCCCAGCATGGCCAGATCTGATCTTTTCCAAGAGAAGCCATAATTCCAGATTTTATCTGGAGTTCCGATTTTTAAATGTTCTCGATTACTTTACATATTTTCAAAAAGATAGTACACATTTAAATAAACACCTCTGAAGGCTGGATTCAGCCCGTAGGCCACCACGTATGACTTGTGTATCAAGAGTATTGTTATTGAAGACACACAAAATCCTCTCCTCTCATCACAAATTATAGTTTATCCCCCGAGAATTTCCCTCTCTTTCAAAGCTAAGTATTTACATTTCCTGTTGTTGTACCCTTTGGAGGCATCATATCCTATTAGTTCACTTATGGAAAGTAGTGTTTCATTTTCTTGACTTCAGTCTACATCATTGATATTCAGGGGGTGGCCTTCATCTCCTAGCCTTCAACTTACTGTCGAATTTAGTGAGTTCCTCGGGGTCCTACAATAATAGCAGAGCCAGAGTCTGAACTCAGCCTTTCCGATTCCAAAATAGATGCCGAACCCGAATACAATGTAACCTCCTACAGAGTGGAATTAATATTCCCAGCCTAGAAGGATGAGGAAGACCTCCTGGAGGAGATGAGATCTGAGCTTTGCTCTGTCTACACTGGGGGCAGGAAGGAGAATAAGGTGTTTTAGGAGTAGGACAGGATAATTTCAGAGACAATAAGGTAATAAGGCAAGTAGTTCAATAAATCTTAGCAAAGTCAATGTTAAGTTCCCAAAAAGTAGATTGAGGCCTATTAAAGGGTCTTGACTGCTGGGTCCAACCTGGACACTTTAGCTATTGAAAGTGTTGGAGCAAATGTAGTGCTATGCACAGAGAGCCCTGCCTCAGAAGATGAATTGTGTCAATGCCGTGGTCTGGAGCTGTCTCAGGCAGCAGCCCGAGCCACCTGCAGCTATTTAAACTCAACTTAGTTAAAATAAAATGAAATTAAAAATTCAGTTCCTCCATCACACTAGCCACATTTCAAGTGCTCAACAGCCACAGGTGCCAGGGGCTACTGTACCAGACAGCACATATGTAAAACATTTTCCCCATCACGTTAAGTTCACTGAACAGCACTTGCTTGGAGTTAGAGCCGGAGCTAAAAAGGCCAACTGGAGACGATCACTATTACTGTTACAGTAGCCTAGGGGAGGGGTCATAACCTGTGGGGCCCCAGTGAGGTGACTAGGAGGGGCACGTGGAAGGGTGGTGTTAAAGGGTTCATCCCATGCCTGGCTATGGCAGTAAGAGAAAACACATGATTTCCTTATTGGGTGTTTTTTTCGTAGTCTTCTCTGGAATTTCTTTAGCTCCATTATATCTTTCTTGATTTCATAGAAACCCTAGTGGTTCATTTTTATGCACTAGCAGGACCCTTTCCCCACAAGGTGCAGTGACCAGAAGCTCCTGCTAACAAGTGGCAGATGTAGTTCGGTGTGGAAAGGTGATGCATTTCAGAAAAACATCATCCAAACTATGTTGATGGGATAATGACCTTCCAGCCAAGACACAACACAAGGGGGAGTCTCTGTTACTGTCTGCTAAGCGTTAGCTGGATGGGGCCTCTGCCCGCAATGAGATCAACATCACGCAAAACTCTACCCATAATCTGGAAGATAAACGTCCACTTAGAAAACAATTCTCTGATGCTACCGGCCATCAGACAAAATATTTAGGCGGGTGAACCGTGGGTATGAACTTGTTACAGTTTCATTTTTGTGACATAAATGTGACATAATTTAGGGTATCTGGGTTCACTATGAACTAGTAGCAATTTATTTAATCTCTGTAAATCACACTCGGTGCTTACATAAACAGCATCACCACCACCTGGGAACTAGGTTAGAAATGCAAATTCTCAGGCTCCACCAAGCAAGACCTAAACTAATCAGAAACTCTGAGGATGGGCCAGCAGTATGGTTAAGGTAGGCCTCCAGGCGATTCCAACACACCATAAAGTATGCGAACCACTGTAAATGTAGCCAATTATTTTATTTAGCCTTTCAATGCTAAATTGGGGGGCACTGTTAAAATACAGGCACTTTTGACCTAGCTCCTTCAACCCCTAAAAGACCCCTATCTATCCAGCCACCCATTGATTCATTTACATAATGTTGAAAGTATTTTAAAAGTCAAGAACAAAAAATTTAAATGCAACCCAACATACATGAAATCCTGAGCCTAATTTAGTTGCAAGAATTTTTCCTCCAATATTGTCTGAAACATCTTTTATGTTCTCTATACTCATGGGAAGGTGAAATTCACTTTAAAAACTTCAAAATAAGCATTTGGAATTCCATCAGAAACACTTCTTTCCCCCTTATCACCTACATTTTTACGGGGAATATTAGAACAGGCACAAACCAGCAAAATATTAGAACAGACAAAAACAGAGCATTGCTTTTAGTGTCCTTCAGTCACTGCGCCTAGTGGCTGGGAGGGATAATAAGAGGACAGCCCCCATGGAGCTGAGCTGACCACTGGACACAGAAACAACCATCTTATTGTGACGTGGTGAGAGTATAACAATTAGGGGGTGTTGGAGAGAACTCACTGTTGGGGTGAGGATGTTGGAGAAGGCTCCACAGGGGCCACTGACACATAGGCTTTGATACGAAGAGAAAGGGGCTAAGGGGGGTGGTGGAAGCGTGGACTCGGTCACAGGGAACACAGTGAATGAACAAAAGCAGTGAGGTCTGAACGTAGGGGGCGCGCCTGGGCGGTCGGGCCTCAGGAGATGGACGGGTGGTGGGGTGAGGCCGGCAGCGCACCACTTCTGGGGGGTCTGACAGTTCAGACCAACGAGCTGAAGGGATTCACTTCGCAAAACGCACACAACTGTCACTGCCATTCCACGCGGCCTTTCAAAATCAAAGAAAATACCTCTGAGCGATAAGGTCCCAGGGACGACCGTCATTCATTCATTACACACTTTTGACTGAGCGCAGCCCGGCCGGGGTCGGGCGCTGCCCCCGCCCGGGGACTTCGAAGTGTAACCAGAGAGTCCCTCGCACCGGGACGCGGACGCCGGGGGCCCGCCGCAGCCTCGCCGCCCCGACCTGCAGCCCCGGTGCCCGGGCGCCTCCCGGCAGCGGCTCACCGGGTTCCTCGGCGGCGGCGGGAGTGCGGGCGCCGGAGGCCCACGCAGCTGCGGCCGGGCTGGCGGCGCTGCCCGCACCGGCGCAGGCGGTTCCCGAGCCGTTGCGGCCGAACCCGCGGGCGTTCGGGCGGGCGGGCGGGCGGCGAGGGCGGGGGCGGGGGCGAGGAAGGGCAGCGCAGGCGGCGGGTGGGGAGCAGGGAGCTGGGCCGCCTCCCGCGGGAGCCCCGGACCTGCGCCGCCCGGGCCTCCGCTCGCTTCCAGGTCCGACCTCCCTCGACCGAGGGCCGTCCTGAGGCCAGGCCCCGCGCCCCGCGCCCCGCGCCTCACACTCAGTAAGTCGCCTGGAGTCTCCCCGCAACCTCGGCAGGTCAGGAGAGGCGCGAGCAAACTGGAGGCGAGAGGGTCGCCCAGATCCGCACCCGGGGATCTGCAGCAGCCCGGGTCCTCCCGCTGAAGGACGGCGGCCGGGGTCTTCTCTCTGCTTTCTCTCGGTCCACCGGCTTCGACGCCCCTTCCGAAGCCCAGTGCCCGTCCCTTCCCGCCTGCAGCCTTATATCCGTGATCGGCAGTTGCAGTTTTACACTCGCTGGACTGCTGTGTTAAACGTTATTCGCCGTACCTATTCCTTTTTGTAAATCGCCTCGCTCCTAAAAGGTCAAGGTTTTTTTTTTTATCTTTCATTAATTGCTGAATCATCAGGACCTAAAACAGGTCCTGACTTTTCTAAATATAGTAAGTGCTCAATAAATTTGTGTTGAGTCATTGAATGATTTCCCCGAAGTTAACTAATTGTAAGCTCCTGTAGGCAGCAACTTGTCTGTTTTCTAGTCACCCTTCCATAAGAAGTGCCTGGCACCTAGTAGGCATTCAGTACATACTTGTTAAATGAGTTGAGTAAATGTAATGCTTACTTCATCTTTACCCTTGTGGTCACTCTCACCTCATCATCCCAGTTTGTTGTGAATTTCTTAGAATTCCTACTTCCAAGTTTCCTTTCCTCTGTTGTCCATTTACTCATCCCCTTGATTCCTCACTCCCAGCCCTTGTTTTTTTCAGTCACATTTTTGCTCCTATTCCTTCTTCAGCTTTCATTACTTCTTTCAAAGCTCCCTAACCTGAAGGTTGACTTGGAACATTTTCAAGCACCATGTCTTTGTAGGATAGAGAATCTAGGCTAAGCCACATTGATTCAAAAAAGAAAAAAATAAAGAAAAAGAGAAGCTTCATACGAATCACCAGTGAATCAGGTCTTAGGTTTTCTTTATTTTTGTCCTCAACAAGCACTGATGATCCTCCACCACCTCCTAAGTCAAGATCATGGTCATTGTTCCTAATTTGTTCAACAAATATTTATGGGGTATCTTTTATGTTCTAGGCACCACACTAGATGCTGGGACAAGCCAGGCAAATCTGAGCACAGCAAGGGATGTGTAACACAAAGAATGAATAATCATGGGAAGCAATGAGAATTTTCCTGACTTGGACCTACTTATTTCTTTGAAGGTCCAATTCTTCTGCTTACCATAACAAGCTTTTGCATAGGAATAGGTTTTGGTAACAGTCAGGGTAGGAATGGGGTTATAATTTGCTCATACAAACTTATCTTGTTCAGCTTTATAAAATAGTGGGAATGTAAGAAAGGAACTCTCTTTTGCATGAATTCCAACTAAGGTCTAAGAAAGATCAATTGACTTTTCTAATACCACTCTACCCTGTTCTTCTTACTCTGAGAGACATGAAGTAAATGCTTACATCCTTTTCAGTGGAAGCTCTTGAGGGCAGGAGTCAGTTGGTTTAAAAAATGGTTCTCAAAGGGAAATACCAGAGTGTTTCCTGAAGCAGAACTGCTTGGGGTTTATTGTAAAAATGCATATTCTCGGTGCCCATTTCAGACCTATCCAATTAGACTCCCTGCGGGTCCGGGAAAATCTGAATTTTACACTCCCAGGGTGACTTTTATGCACCTAAAAGTTTGAAAACTACTAGGAGAGTTTGGATGTAGTACGTCGGCTTTAGTGCAGGGCTAATATTTGCTTTTGGGGCAGATTTTATTAGAATTCCGAAGAGCTGACCATATGTTCTTGAGCAATGGGGATGCAACAGCTTTCTGGCCGGAACGCTTCTCTCTCTTTTTTAAATGCAATCATTCCTTGGCAATTGCGGGTTCCGCTGAGCAGGTGCTCTGCTGCTGGTGGTGACTAGTGGCAGTTCAAAGATCTTTTGGCTCCTTTCCCGACACCGTGTTTGTCACTGTCACTTTCCACCAGGCATTTGCCCCGCCGACCACGGTGGGGCGCACGCGGCATGTGTTGCCAACTTATCCTCTCCTTCCCGGTCAGCCTTCGCGCGTTTAAAAAGAACAGGCAGTGAATTTCTTCTTCTGGTCTCCAGCTGTTACTCTCTTCTCGCGAGAACTGTGTCCCCTGTCCTCCTCTCTCATCAGCCCCCTCCCTTGGGCAGGTTCCATATTGGGTAAAATCTCAGTTCTCGGAGAGTCCCAGGAGCTCTTCTCGCGAGAGTACAGCGGGTGGCTCCTGTTCGCTGCTTCTGGAACGGCGACTACTGGAACAGCAGCAGCTGGAGCGGTAACCCGTGGCGCAGCCCGGAGTCGGCCTGATCCGGGAGAGGGTGCAGGGAGATCGTGGCGGGCGCAGCCTTGAGCTCTGGAGTGTGTCCTTCCCATTAGCAGAGCTTGTCCCTATCGCTGAGGCGCGTCCAGCCGCTGCGGCTGGTTGGGGCCGCGCGCGCGGGAGTCGGCAGGGTCGCGGCTGCGGCACCTGTGCAGGCAGCCGGTGCGGGATCCCCGCCCTGCAGCGTGGGGAACCGGGGCCAGGGAGCGGGTGCGGGTGCAGGCGCGGCCCCGGAGGGCCACCTCCTCCCCGCGCGGCCGCCGCTGGAAGATGTCTCAGGAAAGGCCCACGTTCTACCGGCAGGAGCTGAACAAGACAATCTGGGAGGTGCCCGAGCGTTACCAGAACCTGTCCCCCGTGGGTTCCGGCGCCTATGGCTCAGTGTGGTGAGTGTCACTGGGTCTGGGGCCGTGGTGGCTAGCTGGCCTTTATGTCCCAGAGACAGGCCTGCCCCCACGGCTCAGCGTTGCACCAAGCGGCAGGAATTTTCCTTGGGGGAGAAACATGACTGCCCTTGGACCCTTGTCCAGCGCCTCCTGTGCCCCTTGCACCTCTCACCCTGCACACCTAGGTAGGTAGTCGTCCGTGTGCAGGGCGCAGGTCCACGGTGGGCAGTGGATGGTGGTGCTGGCGCTCGACCCTGGTTTGCACCCTGCGTGTTCCCTTCTTGGAAGTTGCTGCTCCGGGGGCGGGCACCCGGAGAGGATCTTTCTCTAGGGGCCGGGGGGGGGGGGATCTCCCTAATAGCGTCGAGCAGAAGGACCCTCTATGGAGGTGCACCCACTCTGAGCGCCGGAGGCTGCCCTCTGAGCAGACAAGCCCGGGGAGCTGCAGGGAGAATCAGAAGGGCAAAGCCCGACCCGGAGGCTGCCGTCTTCTGAGCAAAACTGACGACGCAGGGCGTCCTTTCCGGGTTTTTTGCAAGCCTCTGTCGAAATCCCATTTTGAGAAGGGTTCTTTTTGAATTCTCAGTTCCATTGGGAGCAACCCAGAGAGCTTAAAATACCGACTTTATCTCGGTGAGCACTGTGCCAGCTTGAGTGCTGTGTTTCCGATTCGGTTGAAGGCGTATTTCCTTTCCGTAGACTGGGGGGTGGGTGATAGTGCCTGCGAGAGCCGTGCAGCTTGAGAAACTGGTGGCCTCGCTGATTAGTCACATTCCAGTGCCCATTTAAGCATTGTTTGACAAACAATTTTCTCATTTGGAGCAAGTGAGATCCGTTGGAGGCCCTCGAGATCAAAAAGTTCTGAACATTGCTGGGAGATATTGTAAATATTTTTTTAATTACGATAATTCTTGTGAATAGAAGTTTTTAAAGCCCCCTGAGAGAGTTTGCAGGGGACTTATCTACATTTATACATTTATAGTCTGAGGTACACGATGGTTTTCATAAGGATGTGGAATATTTCAGTTTGAATTCACACTGTGAGTGTGTTTTAAATTAAATTAATACCATAACATTTCCGGACCCAAAACATTCACTAACTTCCCTTACAAAGTTTTATACACTCTATTTTAGATTTACTGTAATTTGAGAGCCCCTGATCTGAAAGATTCATGTAATTCATGCCCATGCAACATTTGAAAAGGGGTCTATAAAATTACTTCTTGTTTCGAAACAAATTCCAGCCTTTCGGACGTATTAATCTTTAAATATAATTCCTGCATTTCTTAAAGTCACATCATGAATTTCCTGTTTGGTAGAATCTTCTGGGTAATTGAGATTGTGCAATTGGTGTCCAGCAAGAGATCATATTGCATTATCTAGTTCACGCTGCTTGAACCATGTTTCTGACAGCACCATGCCTGACATCTTTTCCACATTTTCATAGCAGACAGCATATGTTTTAAGGGAATTTGCAACATTTTATTATATATGTGTGTTATCGACTTGCTAATTTTCAAAGATAAATTTGGATATTGCTCCTTTACTAGCTCATTAGTTTACTGTGTTTTTCATTCTTGAATTGACACATTAATTTTTGTAGTGTCAAGTTTTTGTTACCAATGATGTTTAAACTTTAATAGAATGATACAGCAGAATAGTTCAACTATGGTGAGTTTAGTGAACTTGAAAAGAACTGCTTGCAAGGTTTCCCTGCTGTTGGTGTGAATAGCTCTGTTCTGCATCTGGAGATCCAGATTTACAGTTCCATTAAAAGAACTCCATGTTTCTTTAGTGTTAGTATGCTTTTCTGGCTTAGAAGCCAGAGATATCTGACACTTGAGATAATTAAGTTAAACAGATTTTTAAAAATAGATAATACCTTAAAATATTAAAGTATGTTCAGTAAAAAGTCTTTTTTTCTGTTCTGCAAAGATGCTACTCCTTTCCTCAGAGACAACCACCCTTAAGTTTCTTGTGTGTCCTTCCAGGGAGGCAGAGGTTGTTCTTTTGGTATTATTTCTGTGAAGGGGACTTATGGTGTGACTATAGCCCTCGGTGGAGGAAAATACAACTAATACACGTCACAATTGACTGTAAACAACTATAACCTGTTTTGGGTTAAAAATATCAGAACTTAGATTTACAAGTAAGTGTTCTTCAGAGTAGTTATTTGAAGTTGTCCTTTCAATTAGGAACTTTTCACATGAGGCAGAAAATACTTCCTTTTGTAACTTTTTTTAGAATTCATTTTGGTGCTTGTATTTTTTTTTTCACCATCTTCATTCATCCTTTGAGTGCAAATTTGATTTTAGGAAATAACCAAATGAAATTGAATCCACATAATTTAGAGAATTTGTACTAAAATCTGGTGAAAAAGATTTAGCAATCAGGTTGGTGATACTGTTTTATGCCTAAGAGGAATCTCAACTAAAAAGTAATAACACAGAATTTCTTGTGTGACTCGTAGAACTAGGCCTGAAGTCTGTTCCCAAAACTATTGTTGAAAGTATTTTAAGGAATCCGACATCATTGAAATGTGTCAGTTTCCTAATTTGATTATTCTGAAGTATGATATACTTTGATGTGTAATTTAAAATTTCATTTTTATAGTAAGGCAATTTTTATGATTTTAACTTATACTAAATATATAATAAAAAAGCAAATAGAGCCAGTGTGATAAACCATCCATGAATTAAAGATCAAGGACTCATACTAGAAATTTGAGAATTACAGGGTTTTATAAATATGCCTTTCCTTTTTAAGGAGGAAAGGGAACTAAACTAAGTCTTGCAGTTTTAAGGAACCTTGTGCATTGTTTGAGGGGAAATGAAGTAAAATTGTTTAAGAATACACTGTTGCAAAGCATTGATTTTGTGGTTTGGGGACAGGAATCTTTGTGGTTATTTTAAGGAAATACAAACAGGAACTTAAATGCCTTTTCTCTGGGGTATGGTTTTCCAGACCCTTGCTGTTGATTAGAGGAGGTGGAAGGCACTGGTAATGTAAAATAGGTGAGAGTTGAGAATTGTTCTTAAGTCATATTCAATTGTTTATTCAGCGGTATTTATTAAGCACCAACTGTAGACCTGAGAGCAGATGAGACAGAGCGAGGTAATGCCTTCCTCTCAGAGAGTTTACAACCTGATGTGAATAGTAATCACATTTTATGGATTGCTTACTCTGTTCCTGGCATTGTGCTGTGCAGTTTATGGTATTTATCATCAGTATATAATGTATATAACAAGACTTGTAGTAAGAGGTTGACAGATTTTACTAAGAAATCAAATCCAGCTCCCCAAATGCTTGCGGAACAAGATGGTATATTAATGAATATAATAAAAATAAATGAAGCTAATTTTTTTTAGTACTAATGGCCATTTACCATTTTAAATCTTTTGTTTTAAAAAAAATTTTAGGATGAGCCAGGGTACAAGTAGATAGAAATATGACATTATTGAGTATGCAAAGGTGACTTCTTTGACTTCTGATCAATGAGAAAGGTTTGCCCTTTACTTTTCTTGTGGTGATAATAGTCCCAGGCTGATCTAACTTCCCATTTGCTTTTCTTTGTAACAAAGATGATGTCATTGGCTACATGTTATCATTGCTAACCAGTAAATATTTAAATATTCATATTGCTACATAAATACTTTTTTAAAAAATATTTTATTTATTTATCTTTAGAGAGGAAGGGAAGGAGAGGAGGAGAGAAATATCAATGTATGGTTGCCTCTCATGAGTCCGCTGCTGGGAACTGGCCTGCAACCCAGGCATGTGCCCTGACTGGGAATTGAACCGCGATCGTGTGGTTCGCAGGTCCGTGCTCAATCCATTGAGCTACACCAGCCAGGGCTACATAAAGACTTTTAAGACGGAGTTCAGTCAAGTTGGCTATGAAGTCATTTTCTTTATCAAACCCCATTTTCTCACTGATACTTTTCCACTGGTTCCCATTCTAAAATAAGGGTATTCTGGGCCTCTAGCTTCTCAATTTTGCCAGTTTTAATTTCTCTCTTTTTTAAAATTCTCACCTGAGGATATGTTAATTGATACAAGAGAGGAAAAGGAGTGGGGAGGAGAGAGAAACATGGATCAGTTGGGTACGCGCCCGACCAGGGAACCTGCAGCCTAGGTTGGACCCTGACCTGGATTGAACCTGCAACGTTTTAGTGTATAGGTGTCGCTCCAACTAACTGTGCCATCTGGCCAGGGCTGCCAGTTTAATTTTTTGATGCTAAGGAGACTCGTCCTCAGAGGTGATCTCTATGTTGACTTTGCTTTTCATGGGCAGCTGTGCAGATGGCTCTGAGCCTGCCGCCCCCCCCCCCCCCGCCTTAGGATTCAAAGGTGGAAGAATTCGCTGAGTTTATTCACTCCCCTTTTAGAATTAACTAGAATTTTAATGGGATTTGATACTTTATAAAGTATTTCCATCCAAAGTATTATCATTCAGTTTCTCCTGGCTTTATGAAAGGCGGCATCATTAGCTGAGTTATGTAGCTGAGGAGCTGGACTCATTCATAGAAGGAATGGCAGGCATACTCGTCGATGCTACTTGGGGTTGATTCCGGGGTTTCAAGACTTTATAAGTCTCCTTTCCTTTATCTGCTGATGAGGTTGTGCTCTTTGCCTCCCTACTCCTTCCTTTTGTGAAGAGGGGTTGCTGGGTCACTTGTGACAGAGCTGTGATTATGTGCAACCAGTCCTACCACTGCCAGTGCACGGCTAGTCTGCGTGGTGATGCCTTGACTTATTAAAGTTACATGTCTTCCTCAGTATGGATGAACTGAAAAATGAATTCGTTGTGCAGATTAAATTTTTCCCCACAAAATTATTAGACACTGCACATAGTTAATTCCTGAATTTATGAATCTTGGTGGTTTGAAATTCTTCAATGTACATTTTGTGAATTTGGGAATTCTGTGTATGGTTGTGTTATGTAAGTATAGGATATAAATAGAAATAATTGTTTCTCCAGACCGGTGAAAATACATTGG